AATAAAACATTTGGCAATTTAAAGTAAAAATTTTAAAATGTGTAATATTTTGTCTAAATACATAAATAAATAAAACCAGTAAAATCAGTGTTATAAAAATTTTGCACCATAGAATGCAACTTTTTTAAAATTATTTTTTATTACTTTCCTTATTAAAAATGTAATCAATTCAAACATTTAAATGTATTAATTCAAATTAAATTCAAATGTATATTATTTTGCCTAAATGCATTAAAAATAAACCGCTAAAAGCTAAAATAAGTCATTTTAAAAGTTATTAGAAATCAAAATTATGATATACAGTACAAAAAATATATATATTTTTTTGTGTATTTAGCATTGTATTAACTGTCCTAAAGTGTCAGTATTGTACTGTCCTAACATACTTTGTATTTAGGACAGTAAATGACATTTATTGGCAATTAAAACATTCAAATATTCACACAATATTGGTTAGTTTACAAAATAAAGATTAACTGGAATGAAAAAAAAATTAGTTTAAATTGATGTACTAAAATAAATAAAACTAAATAAACTTAAAACTGAAGCCTAAAACTGTATAGACATTTAAAAAAGTAAATAAACATCAAATAATACTTTAAAATTAAAATGAATACAGAGAATATAAAAATGTGAATGCATTTAACTAGAAAATGCATTAGAAAGATGTGTTGTGTCTTGTATTTGTACTGCAAACATCTTAGGCTCAGAGGTCAGAGTGCAGTATCTGTTAGTAAATCTGCATTGACCGTTCATCCAGACGCTGTGTGTGTGTGTGTGTGTGTGTGTGTGTGTGTGTGTCAGGCGTCCAGCCCGTGGTCAGTGGAGAGCAAGCCGTGGTCCAGGCCCGCGGATGGACTGTATGTCATCGAAGATCAGCACTGCGTTGAGTTTCATACGCTGGTCACTGCAGATCATCTGACCGCTGACAGCAAACTACAGCAGAGACAAGCACTGATCAGCCTTCTGGACAAGAACTGGGACACTGGGTAAATCAGCACTGTTAATACAAGCTCCATACTAAACTATTCATTTAGTTATACAGACACAGACACATATACTTCTAAGTATTTTTTACACACTACAACTTTTACAAATTATAATACGTGCATATAAAGGCAAAAATCTGTAATATCTACTGATATTTTATATATATTTTTAAATTATCTCTGTTGTCTTCTAATACGTTATAATGCTTTTAATTTAATAATCCTGTTAAATGCAATCTTTAATCAATATAAAAAAATTATACTGTACATTATAATCTTATTACTCCATATATAATATGAAATATTTATAATAAAAATATTTATAATAAATTATTTATTTATTTTTATATTACATACATAAAATAGTTGCACAGTATATCAGTTCAGCACTTAATAAAAAAATCTGTAATATATGCCATGACCATTTTTATATACTCTAGTCTTAATAATTTTATTAAAAGATGTATTTATACACACATTTCTGTTTTAATTATTTTTAATTAAATAATAATTTTTATTTATAAAAATGAATTATAATTATTTTGCTGTCTCTTAATACAAATAATTTAATAATACTGTTAAATGTAATCTTTAATAAATGAAAAATATTATTTGTATACTGTACGTTATGATGTTTATATAATGGATAGATATATATATATATATATATAAAATGTGTGTGTATATGTATATATATATATATGTATGTATTTATTTATTAGATAAGATAGATAGACAGAAAGAATAGTGTAGAATTTTAGCAATGGAATTTTAATATTTTAATGTCCGAATAATTCAAACTAATAACACCAGAGTTTTTCAGTGAAAAGAATCAGCTGTTTTGTTGATGAATTAGACTCTACTGGTCATGCTGTATGATTGTTTTTGCATATTTAGACGTGTTATATTTTACATCACTTTTAACTTTTTTCCTCATCACATTCAGTTTAGACTACAAGCTCACAACTCGGGTTAAAAACTATTTCTTTTGCATGGTTTTGGACATTTATCAGCGGTGGAGCATTGCAGACAAATAGCAACACAGGAGATGCTGTCATAATGCTTTTGTTTGGATTGTGCTTCACTCTCATGTCACCATAGCGGGAAAATACCAAGCCTTTAAACTCAGACGTAATGCTTTAATCCTTCACGATTCACAGCTGCTTGTGCAGAAATCCACTCCACTTACGCTCAATCTGCCGCATTTACCGCTAACAGCTCTCTAGTCCAGATTATTCAGACTCTCCGGCTGCGGCCGTGCAGGTCACCGTCTGCGTTTGATCTTTTTTGATCTCATAAGCTTTAAAAAGGAGAAAATGTGCTCTGTTTGGGCTGACATGAACGGATTTGGCCCGGTTATTTAATGGACTGTGTATGATGACTGTAAAACCACGTCAGATGCTATTTGGGAAACATGCATCAATCTATTCTTGGTGGTTTGGTTTTATAATGCTCTCGTGGAGACGTACAGCACCGGTTGTTCAGATGCAAGTGCTTTGTTTGAACTGCTGCGGTGTGACTCATCACACTGTCCTCTGTCTGCTGGCCTCGGCTGAACCACCTCACGGCACCCCGCTTTATGCTCCAGTTGCATTATTAAGCAAAACCACGTCCACCCGCTTGGCCAGCTTTTCAGCAAATGTGCTGCTTGTACTACACTGTGAGCCAAACTGCACACTGATTATTCACCATTTTATGCATTTAGAGATTCCCAAACCATTACCTCTGATCTGGTCCACCATGCCATATCACAAGAGGAGGGGGCATATGGGAAGATCATCCCCCTGAAGCACATTTTCATTACTATATATATATATATATATAAAATTCCCATTGAAATGTAAAAAAACAAAACAAAAAAAAACAATATAAGTGAATTTGGCTAATTTAAATTTTTTTTTAGAATATGTAATTTTTTATTATTGAAGTCTAGTTAATTAAATTGAATATTTAATTTTATTTATTTATATATATATAACCATAGAATAAATATTAACTGAATTAAAATATATAAAAAGAACCATATTTCTGCTAGTTATTTCTTCTGCCATATTTCTGCAACATATCTCATTTTCATTTAGTTTAACCTAAAGTACTAAAACAACTAACACCAAGCAAACTAAAACTGATTAAAAGACAGTATATAGACATAAAATAACTAATAAAAATGAAATAACAAAATTATTACAAAATTATAAAAAATTGAAATAAAACAAAATATAGAAATAAAATCTTAATTAAAATATTATCAAGCTATGATGATATATCTATGATATTAAAATAACACTAACACTGGTCTGTTCCACATTTTAACTTTTCAAAATTAAAATATTAACAGTGCAAAATGTGAATGAATTATTGAAGTAAACAGTCATAAAAACAAGTTCTGAATTCTGATGGAATTAGCAATCAATTTATTAAAATGAATAACTAATTCATAATTGAGAATCTTTTTGACCAATTTATTAAACTACTAATAAAAGTTATTCATTTCTGAATAACACTTTTTTTTTTTTCATTTTTGCATGTAACCAGTTAAGAAAATGCAATAGAAATAGAATTTTTTTTTTGCATTGCAATGTAAAACACAATGTAAGTGAAGTAAATTTTTTTTAAAAAGTAAACATAAAATTGTTATTTTTTTTTTTATGATAAACATGTAGGAAGCATTAGTATAAAATAGTTGGATATAATGCAACATTTACTTCAATCAAGTTTGATTTTGGCCCTTTGCATTAAAATGCTTGGGACCATCTTTTATTTATTGATGTAAAGCCTCTTGTACATGAGGGCCTGTCGTGTTGTGTTACAGAGAGAAGTACTCGCAGTACCTCCGGGTTCAGGTCTGTGACAGTCAGGGCCGCTCCGTGAGGGAGGCCAGATCCTCCTTCTACCATCACCATTCACCATTTTATGCATTTAGAGATTCCCAAACCATTACCTCTGATCTGGTCCACCATGCCATATCACAAGAGGAGGGGGCATATGGGAAGATCATCCCCCTGAAGCACATTTTCATTACTATATATATATATATATATAAAATTCCCATTGAAATGTAAAAAAACAAAACAAAAAAAAACAATATAAGTGAATTTGGCTAATTTAAATTTTTTTTTAGAATATGTAATTTTTTATTATTGAAGTCTAGTTAATTAAATTGAATATTTAATTTTATTTATTTATATATATATAACCATAGAATAAATATTAACTGAATTAAAATATATAAAAAGAACCATATTTCTGCTAGTTATTTCTTCTGCCATATTTCTGCAACATATCTCATTTTCATTTAGTTTAACCTAAAGTACTAAAATAACTAACACCAAGCAAACTAAAACTGATTAAAAGACAGTATATAGACATAAAATAACTAATAAAAATGAAATAACAAAATTATTACAAAATTATAAAAAATTGAAATAAAACAAAATATAGAAATAAAATCTTAATTAAAATATTATCAAGCTATGATGATATATCTATGATATTAAAATAACACTAACACTGGTCTGTTCCACATTTTAACTTTTCAAAATTAAAATATTAACAGTGCAAAATGTGAATGAATTATTGAAGTAAACAGTCATAAAAACAAGTTCTGAATTCTGATGGAATTAGCAATCAATTTATTAAAATGAATAACTAATTCATAATTGAGAATCTTTTTGACCAATTTATTAAACTACTAATAAAAGTTATTCATTTTTTAATTTTTGCATGTAACCAGTTAAGAAAATGCAATAGAAATATAATTTTTTTTTTGCATTGCAATGTAAAACACAATGTAAGTGAAGTTAATTTTTTTTTTAAAAGTAAACATAAAATTGTTATTTTTTTTTTTATGATAAACATGTAGGAAGCATTAGTATAAAATAGTTGGATATAATGCAACATTTACTTCAATCAAGTTTGATTTTGGCCCTTTGCATTAAAATGCTTGGGACCATCTTTTATTTATTGATGTAAAGCCTCTTGTACATGAGGGCCTGTCGTGTTGTGTTACAGAGAGAAGTACTCGCAGTACCTCCGGGTTCAGGTCTGTGACAGTCAGGGCCGCTCCGTGAGGGAGGCCAGATCCTCCTTCTACCATCACCTCACGCAGCTGTCCTGGGTTCCCTCGCGCAGACCGCCGTGGGACGAGAGCCGGCCCGTTTCCTACCTACAGCCCAAATCTGTCTACATCTTCTCTACGGAAGTGCACCAGCTCCTCGGCTCCCATGTCGATTACGCGCACGGCGCTCAGATGCCCAGCGAATTCACCAGAGCCATAGGTACAGATTACCAATCTTCAGAATTAAAATAACTCTGTATTATGAGACTGGGCCGAGTTAAAACCTGTAACAAACACCATAATAATTGCTGATCAGTATGTGATCTGAATAGCTCATAGCTTCAGTATTACACGTGTTAAGACAGTATTGATTTGTAGTCAATATGGAATCAAAATAAACCCTTTTAATTTTCTTGATACATACTTCAGCATACTTAAGTAATGCATAAATGCATACTTAATGCATTTATAGTCTTATATGTGCAATTAATTGATGCACAAAAAAAGGAAATTGACAAATTTTGCCCTAATTTTTTTGGTGCATACACTACTTTTCTAAAGATTGGAGTCAGAAATAATTATTAAAATATAAATATTAAAGCATGCATACATTTAAATAAAGAAATTAATACTTTAATTCATCAAGGACACATTAAACTGATCAAAAGGGACAGTAAAGACATTTATAATGTTACAAAAGGTTTCTATTTCAAATAAATGCTGTTCTTTTGAACTTTCTATTCATCAAAGAATCCTGAAAAAATAAAATGTATCACAGTTTCCACAAAAATATTGTGCAGCACAACTGTTTTCAACACTGATAATAATCAGAAATGTTTCTTGAGCAGCAAATCAGCATATTATACTGATTTCTGAAGATCATGTGACACTGAAGACTGGAGGAATGATGCTGAAAATACAGCTTTGATCATAGCAATAAATTCAATTTTTACTTAGATTCTCATAGAAAACAGCTATTTTAAATTGTAATAATATTTCACAACTTTTTACTGTTTTTTTAAATCGAATAAATACAGGCTTGATGAGCTGAAGAGAATACTGTAAGATACAATAAAAAGTCTCTCTGTTGATATTTGATGTTAATGCAGGAATGAGACACACTGTGCATGTGGACGACGTGATTGGCTATCTGAAGCGTTGGTGCGTGAAGGTGTCTGACAATCCGTCTGAGGATCCTGAAGGAGCAGATTTCACTACTACAGTCAATCACATCCATACATTGTATCGATACCTGTCCACTGAGTGCACTAACAACAAGCTCCGAGACCTGTTCCAGCATGCACCTGCTGTCTTCATCGAGTATGACAGGTCAGATATACAGATGTGGGATTTAACCCTCAGATTCCTTCAGAACTACCTTGCATGGACAGCTGTGCTCCTCTGTTCTCATGCAGGAAGGATGACTGGTGCTCTGGGCGCTTCTATCATCTTAAGGAGGTTTGCTGGTCTGATCCGACAGGCATGTTTCACAGATACAAGGAGCTGATTCGACGGGCTGACAGCGGCATACAGGAGCCCAGAGTCCTGGCACCGTTTTATAATCATTTGGAGGACATGAAGAAATTTTTCAAGGTCTGTTCCAGGTTTCGTCTTTAAAATCTGGCCGAAACCAGGAGTTATTTTCATTATTAAATTTGAGTATTTTTGTGAATTAATAACAGTTGTAAATGTAGACATCACAACCTTGAAATGTACAGTATGGTGAATGGATATTTATTTTGAGATTTGCGATTACGTTTAACAGTGTTATTAAATGATTGTTGTTTTTAAAGATTAACTTTCAGTAAGCATCAGATGACAGCAAAGGAAATCTAAATGTAAAAAACAGAGTAAATGAGCATGCACAAGTAGATATCCAATTATGATTTAAATCGATTACTGTTGTACAGTAGAATGTACTTTATCAAAGTAATATTTACAATTACATATATTTTAATAATTACTAATAAAAATATAATTTTTAAGGAATTTTTCATCCATGTTTTTACAATCAACCTCTTTTTGTTTGCCAAAAAATGTAATTGTTCAGATTTCATTTGCTTGCATTCTGAAAGATTAATTTGTTAAGGTTTTTGTATATTTAATTAACACATTTTTTGATAATAAAATTGCATTAAATCATAAAACACAGAATCCAGAAAATCAAAACAGGCAACATGGAATTTCTGGGAAAAAAATAAAAACATGTTTAATAGGGTACTATTGTAATTTTTTTATTTAGTTGATTTAATTGATTAGACATGCTTTTTGATTATTACAATTTAATTAAACCATTAAAACGGAATCCAGAAAAATTCAAACAAACAACACAGAATTTCTGGAGAGAAAAAAAATGTAATTTTTAAACAAAAAAAAATAAAATAAATGATTCATTTGCTTTGATTAGACATGATGTTTGATTAAGATTTAATTACACCACTAAAACAGAATCCAGAAAAAAATTCAAATGAAAAATTGAGTTTCATAAGTCCCTACTAATTCAGCTACGTAATTTAGATGGTACCAAATCAAGTGCAATTGAATATGGCAAAACTGAAATAAATGAATCCTAAGGAATCTTTATGATCATTGCAGTCTCTGAATGTGCAGCCCAGTCCGTCTATGAAGCAGTACGTGTCTCTGCTGGAGGCCGTGTGTGAGGCGTCTCCTCTTGCGACAGGAGATGTTGTCCAAGACGTCTCTGTCGTCTTCGCCAAACTAGGTAAAAACCAAATGATATCCAGCCTAACCATCCATTAACTGCTGTTTGGATGTTCTCTGATGTCTTCCGTCTCTCTCAAAGCTGATAAATGTAAGACCCATGTTTATGGAGATCAGGATCAGGACACTCTGCTCAACCCGGTCTACTGCAACTCTCTGAAAGGTGAGATCAACTGAACTCTGCAGGGCCGGATTTACGCATAGGCATTCTAGGCACGTGCCTATGCTCGCTCATCCAGGGGGGCCCAAACACAATGAAGGGATATATAATATTTTTGTTATGCTGTGGGATATCTACAACCGTAAAAGAACCAAAACCCCAGAAGACATTGAGCAAATAAATACAACAAAAATAGGGTAAAAAATGCTATTTTCATGTCTTCCACCTGTTTTATGTAGGCTACGGAAATCACGCTTTCTTTCTCCCAGTCTCTCTCACACACAGTGCAGACACACACTCGCGCACACACGCGGAGACGCGAACAGAAACTTCATGTCAGCGCTGCCCCGCGAACAGCTGAACAGCTACATGACATTTGGTTCATGAAGTTCTTGAAGCAGTTTAACTTAAATATTCGCTATTAGTAGACGCTGCTGCTGAACGCTGCTGAGAGGTGCACAGACGCACGTATTCACACGCGCTTAATCTCTCTCTCACTCTCACTCTCTCTCTCTCGCTCTCTCTCTCGTTCTCTCGCTCTCTAATAACCGCATTAGGCTGCATTAATAACTGCATTAGGCTGCATATCAATGGCTAAAGCCTCCGTTATTAGCTCTAAAATGACGTTTTGGAATTTGCAACGGAAGGTTTGGGATGAGGTGCAAAACAAATTAGTTCAACACACAAGATTTTAGGACAGAAACATGTCAGATGTCTTGAAACAAATCATCATGTGTGGTTGTGACTCCAGGCCATTAAAATTATTAGAGAAATAATGCACTCTCGAAGTGGTTATGTGGCCACGACGCCGCGCCTGTATGGAACGGTCTTTCTCAGTTCTCAAACAAATGAAGAACTACATTCGGTTTTTATTGACTTGGGTGGTATTATTAGGCCTATTATATTAATAGGGAAAGGGGGCCCAAAAATTAGTTTTGCCTATGTCACGGAAAGAGGTAAATCCGGCCCTGACTCTGTGTGTGTGTGTGTGTGTGTGTGTGTGTGTGTGTTTGCGCTGGTGATATCTGCAAATTTCTGATTTGATCTTTATGGTCTTAACAGAAATGGTGTCTCATAAAAGAGTGTTTCCCACCAAGACTAGCGGCTGGGTCACATTAGCTCGTAAGCCCATGATCGCAGACAGCGCAAACCTGGAGAAGATCTTCAAATCGCATAGTTCGGTTTGTCTGCTCAACCTGCCGTCTGCAGCCAAGAGAGCAGCCAACAAATCCAGGCATGAAGGTAATGTGTGTGCAATGCCGTTTACCATGATTCGTGCATTGTAATAGTAATTTTCGCTAAAATTACACAGTTGACTGACTCGAGTTAATTTAACAAGCTTGAATTAAGAGTCTTCGCATTTAATGAAAAAAAAAAAGATATTATACATTATATTATTTGAATTCTGAAATAGAAAAAATAAGTCATTTTGTTGGTAAAAAGGCCTTTATATGGTGAGCATACTGATCCTGGCTTAATCCAATGTTCAGATTTCTGGAAATGTATTCCATAATACTTACAATACTAAACAGTTGGCAAAATGTACTGTAATTAATTGAAATAATAACTTTTTTTTTTATTATTACTACCTGTAGAGTCTTGAATTAACTCACAAATACAAGCAAAATATAACATGAAGATTTAATTAAACTCTCTGAAAATTGCAAATACTGTATCCCAATTGGGACATCCACAACAGAAAATGCAGTTTATTATTTTAATATTATAAAAAAAAAAATAATAATTCATCAATTATTTGAAGATGGCTCATCATTGGCTTGTGCAATGAGATAAGCAACGACAACAGTCAGTAAAGTCTTTCACACTTCTGTGCTTTTTAAAATGTCTTTTAAAATGGCAAATCTAGTATCCCTATAATGACATCAGGAAAAAAATTAATAATAGTTGAAAAAATAAATTTATTCAGAAAAATAAATACATTTCACAAATAAAGTTGTTAAAACTTGTAAAAAGATATGAAATAGTCGCTTAGCTGCCATCAAACGTAGGATAAACAAGTCTTCTAATATATTGCTTTATTTTATTATTTTTATTATTTATATATATATATATATATATATATATATATATATATACACACTCCCTCACGCCACAAACTGACGGCCTGCATCATATTAAACCCGATTAAAGCGCATTGATCGATTAGCAAGCTAACGCTTAGCCGCTAGCCGACCGAGTCTCTCGCGTTCGCGTTGCAGATGTAGACCCGAGTGTGTGTGTGTGTGTGTGTGTAAGACTTGTAATGTTTTTTTAAAGAAGTCTCTTATGCTCATCAAGGCTGCATTTATTTGATAAAACTTTTTTTTTTTATTATAATATATAATATCCTTTAAACACTGCCGTTCAAAAGTTTGGGATCAGTAAGACTTGTAATGTTTTTTTAAAGAAGTCTCTTATGCTCATCAAGGCTGCATTTATTTGATAAAACTTTTTTTTTTTATTATAATATATAATATCCTTTAAAATATTTATTTCTGTGATGCAAAGCTGAATTTCCATCAGCCATTACTTCAGTATAAAGTGTCACATGATCTTTCAGAAATCATTCTAATATGCTGATTTATTATTAGAGTTATCAATGTTGGAAACAGTTGTGCTGACAAATATTTTTTTGGAAGCTGCGATACTTTTTTCAGGATTCTTTGATGAATAAAAAGTTTAAAAGAACAGCATTTATTCAAAATATCAATCTTTTCTAACAATGTAAATCTTTGCTCTCACTTCTTAACAATTTAACACATCCTTGCTGAATAAAAGTTTTAATTTCTTTCAAAAAATAAAAATTTTACTGACCCCAAACTTTTGAACTGTAGTGTATATTGTTAGAAAAGATTTCTATTTTAAATAAATGCTCTTCTTTTTAACTTTTTATTTGTCAAAGAATCCTGAAAAAAGTATCACAGGTTCCAAAAAAAATATTAAGCAGCAAACATTTTCCAGCACTGATAATAAATCAGCATATTAGAATGATTTCTGAAGATCATGTGACACTGAAGACTGGAGTAATGATGCTGAAAATACAGCTTTGATCACAGCAATAAATTACATTTTAATATATATTAAAATAGAACATTTTTATTTTACATCATAATAATATTTCACAATATTACATTTTTTCCTGTATTTTTGATCAAATAAATCCAGCCTTGATGAGCATAAAAAACTCCTGTAAAAAAACATAAAAAATCGTTCTGATCTTAAACGTTTGACCGGTAGTGTGTATGTATGTACAGTGGGGCAAAAAAGTATTTAGTCAGCCACCAATTGTACAAGTTCTCCCACTTAAAAAGATGAGAGAGGCCTGTAATTTTCATCATAGGTATACCTCAACTATGAGAGACAAAATGAGAAAAAAAATCCAGAAAATCACATTGTAGGATTTTTAAAGAATTAATTGGTAAAGTCCTCGGTAAAATAAGTATTTGGTCACCTACAAACAAGCAAGATTTCTGGCCCTCACAGACCTGTAACTTCTTCTTTAAGAGGCTCCTCTGTCCTCCACTCATTACCTGTATTAATGGCATCTGTTTGAACTCATTATCAGTATAAAAGACACCTGTCCACAACCTCAAACAATCACACTCCAAACTCCACCATGGCCAAGACCAAAATTGTAGACCTCCACCAGGCTGGGAAGACTGAATCTGCAATAGGTAAGCAGCTTGGTGTGAAGAAATCAACTGTGGGAGCAATTATTAGAAAAAGGAAGACATACAAGACCACTGATAATCTCCCTCGATCTGGGGCTCCACGCAAGATCTCACCCCATGGGGTCAAAATGATCACAAGAACTGTGAGCAAAAATCCCAGAACCACACGGAGGGACCTAGTGAATGACCTGCAGAGAGCTGGGACCAAAGTAACAAAGGCTACCATCAGTAACACACTGCACCGCCAGGGACTCAAATCCTGCAGTGCCAGACGTGTCCCCCTGCTTAAGCCAGTACATGTCCAGGCCCGTCTGAAGGTTGCTAGAGAGCATTTGGATGATCCAGAAGAGGATTGGGAGAATGTCATATGGTCAGATGAAACCAAAATAGAACTATTTGGTAAAAACTCAACTTGTCGTGTTTGGAGGAGAAAGAATGCGGAGTTGCATCCAAAGAAC